TGTAAGAGAGCTCATCATTCATTAAAATCCAACGTTATCTTCCATTTAAGTAATTTCCATGATTAACGAATAATTTGCTTATGTACTAAGTAAAGATTTATGTACTCAGCTTTCAGATATATTTTACTTGTATGGGAGGACAAGTGATACTACCTGGTTGCGCAAACTAAAATAGGCGGAGAGAGGATTGAACCTGCAATAACCCGGTAGAAAGCTGAGTGATTTACCTGTTCCATAACATAAGAATAGTCAAAACCAAGCAAACAATGGATCATTGATCCGTTCTATGAATTTTTACCACTTTTTTTATAACAATATCTTAGAAAATAAAACTAACTCCCTTTCACCGTGCAAAATATTTCATTGGGACTATTCAAACCTAGAAGCAAAAATCTAACGCAACGCCCCAAGTATTAGTAGATAGTCAAAATTAAAGATAAAAAACACACATGTCATCATGCCAACAGTAAGCTGTCAAGAATTAAAATCCCAAAATAAAGATATTGGAGAGTATTCTAGAAAAAGTAACCGTAATTGATGCAATAGGATATAATTATACATAAACAACGAACTATCGTCAGTGAAGGTGAACAAGAAAACAGAAAGTTCTCAACAGCAGGTGCATTATTTAGGTACTTCATAAAACCGTTGGAAATTAATTCAAAAATACATTAAGCTTACCATCGGAAATAAACGTTTTGCGTTTAATACTAAAAAAGTCAAGATTATGTATTGGTAATAAAGCTCTGAACCAATAGTAACTAATGGATTCCCAGTGTTCTCTCGTCTGTAGTATCATTTAGTTGGTTTATGTGTTCTTCCAATTAAGTAGTAATAAATTAGTCATTCTGATAGCATCATGGTTGAGTGAACAAATAATAATTACTATAACTTACTTAGACAGTTGAATTAAGTGAAAATTCGCTTGCCACGCATCATCAATCCACTCTCGCATATCAAAGAAGTTTTTCCAGTTAATAGACAAGGTTGATGATAGTAGAGAATATGATTTACTGCACAAAAGAGTCAAATGAAAAAATTATACATAATAAACAATTAAATATTAATTTATAAACACTAGAAATGTAGTATGAGATGTCTGTCTGCATATTTAAAAGTAATGATACTGAAGTGTATGCGTTATGCGTTATTTCACAACTGTGAAACTATGATACATTAGTTCGTTCTAAGCATCCAATCATAAGTGTATAAGAAACATTACTTGCATATGGTGAAAGCACCAGGTGAGTTCTACGAATGTCGTCCCAGAGAATTCCACGTCGTGCATTATTTGCCGACTCTGGGACTGGTTGGAAAAAGCGGAGAGGTGGTCAGTGCATGACATGGTGTCGTGGTATGAAAGAAAGCTGCAAAGGACTGGCTTGTGTTGGTCCTTCACGACTCCCTGGTTGGGGTCTGAGAGATGGTGCAACACAGTGGCTAGAGACGTTATTAGATATGGCTCGGAATAGAAGCCAGTGGCGATCCTGCTGTAATCTTCTTTTACTTTCTTCATAAAAAGTGGTTGTATCTCCCTTACCTGAAAGATTTCTTCTGATTGTACCTTTGCATTCCCTCATTACTACCACACTACCTTACACCAATCTTTTCGTTATTGTTCTCTTTTTCTTTTGCGCTCCTTAGTTTTTTTTCTACTTCTCTTCGAATTTTCATTGTTTTGTGTGGCGCATACATATTGGCGCTCTCTTGTACCAATATTCATGTGTTCAAATAAATAAATAAATAAAGGTGAGTAATGCCGAGGTATTCTTATGGTTTAAGAAGAAAAAGTAAGTCGGTTAAACCCTCATCAAAACGGATAATTGAGACATAAGTTAAGCATGACTAACAATGGCCCACCTTGACGTGCAATTGTGGCTAGATTGGAAACCAACAGAGATCAAACCAAGATATCGTATCAATCCTTGAAGTTATTTTTGCTGATCTATGGTTTCAGGAAGTGCAAACTTTCAGGTTAGAGATGGCACGATAATCACAATCTATGATTAAAGAACTTAGGAGATAAGGGGTAAAAACCAGCTACAGAGACTTAGTGTAATTTATCATCTGTTTACACCTAAATCTTGAAGTTATTCTTCGATCGTGTCTGTTTCTTTAGAATTATGTTCTTTTAATATCCACCTTTTTCTCGTTTTATCGATTTTTTACATCGCTATAACGATGTGATATGTTATAGCCTGAATAGTTACGAATTCATGCCATGTTCGAAGTTGCCTACGACAGAGTGACTAACTCTATATTATAAGCAATATCTGTAATGCACAGAATTAAAAACTCACTAATTATAGGTTAATCATCTATACCTACGACTGAATAAAAATGCAAAGTGATTGAAACATTAAGTATTTGAGTAAATGCACATACACATATATACTCATACCTCATCAACTTGTTTAAAAGCTCTAACGCATTGAATATAACCTGCGTATCAATATTTGGACAACATATATAAGCTACAGTTAGACGAATCAAAACAATGCGCTGTGTTTTGGATAAACGCATTCCAAATATATTGATAAATCTAGAGGGATAGCGATAAAAAAGGACATTTCATTGATTATGAATAAACATTAGAATGATTGCACAATCTAAACAATAATGTATATTCATAGTTAATACAATGGATGCGGTACTAAAGGTTGATCGGTTTTTTTTCGGCTTCCTCCCATTAATCATTGATAAAGAATACTCCGTTAGCTGAACATCTCGTATAAAGATAACATAATAGATTCTCTAGTGATAAATTCAGTCATTTAGTGATTCTGTTTTAGAAAATCTATTCGATTTGAATGGGTTATCGGGAAACTTATCAGTGTGGTCATATCGACTAATCTGTAAATTCGATTCTGCAAAGTATTTCTGTACTAATGTGTGTCCTTCAGACTGACATAGAAGAGTTAAGTTTAGATCTATGATCTACCTTATTGTAGCTTAATTACCAAGTACACGTTTGTTTGCTCAGTTTTAAGCGGTACCTTGGATGCATGGGTGGTAGAGACACTACTCGGATGCCTAAACTGAAGTAGATGGAAAGACGTTAGGACCCGAAACTTACTGGTTGGAAGCCGAGTGGCCCAACTACTAAGCTACCACCCCAATGTCTAGATTGTTGTTGTGTAAATTTAATTTGAGGTGGCTATCAGATAACATAAATTTGTATCGCTTCTCAGCAAATTAAGTCCTTTTGAATTATCTCACTAAAAAGTGATCTATTTCACAATTAAATATTTCATGTACAAGCGAATGAAATTTGGTTATTAGGGATCAAAATACATACGCTTCCTCGAAACGTTTCCAAATATACACTGTGGATTAAGAACCAGATTAATAAAATGATTATTAAATGTAATAGTATCCACATAACTAACCTTTGAATAGTAGTAAATACCGGATTAATTTCACACATGATATCACCAGACGATAAAACATCACATAACCATTGTATAATAGTATTCCATTCATCTTGTATAACTTTATTCAAATTATGCGGATGAATAGGAAACAAACGATCACTGCGTCTGCGCATGGACCCCGATTGAATTGCTTTCATCTTAAAAGAATATTCTTCAAATGCAAACAAGTTTTAAAGTGTCTCTTTCTTCATAAAATATTATTTGTCCTAAATTGAGGAAAAAGGCAGAGATAAACTGCAAACTTTGTCAAACAATTTTGTTTCTCTAAGGAAAGCGCTAATAAAACGAGTCATACGATTGCAAACACTTATTCCTTCAATACATTCGCTATTTGTGTAAGGAAATAATGATAGAAACCCACAAACTATAGGAACCGAACCACTAACCCCAAAGGTAACCGGAATTATAACACTAAAGTCATAAAACTTGATAAAAGGAAGACATGAAATCCTAATACTTTTATTAGCCCATAAGTATCGGTCGGATAGGATGGGAAGGATAAACGAGATGGTATTCTCTCTAGAACTTTTCGTGCCTCAGAAGAATTGAGACAGGCGCCGATTTCTTCTGTACATTGAGTTTTGTTTTACAGAGAACTACGAAGTCTGATACAAAAGTAAAAGCATAAAGTCAGTCGTAACTTAACCACACGTCAAAGATAAACCTATGATTAATATTTACAGAATGCAGAAGTGAACATCAATTGTAGCCACACATTTTGATATGGCAGGTAATCTAACAACTACTTTATTTCGAAGAAAGTAGTGCTGATAATCCGTTATCAATGAAAAACAAATTAATGAGAGGTATACTTTACGGATACTAGCCCTCTGAATAGTCTTATTAGAAAGTGAAGCACTAAGAGCTGTATCAAACCATAATCGGCTATCTGAAAGAGTTTGTATTTTCCGGATGTTGATATTCAACACAACCTCTGTGGACACATAAACATCCTCAATAGATGCATCGATATTGCTTAGAAATGGATATTTTTGGTAAATTCTTGAATTATGATGGGCACCAAAATTCAAGAGGCGCATTTCATATTACTAAGGAGTTATCAAATGTATGAATCCGCATCGCAGCGATAAATACTAGGTTATAGCTCTAGTTTGATGCATGAACGTCTAGTTGTCAAGTTCTAAATAGGACAAAACATGCATCCTTGACTCTACTGCTGACCGAAACCTGAAAATATACTATGACAAAATCTCCCCAATTAAAGAAAACTTCAAATTAAATTTGATACCATGTAGTATTTTATTGTATGATTATTTTGAAAATTTACTCCCTTTATACTACCTACCACATCTGATTGAAGTATGATTTAGTTAACAAGAAACAATGCCATACATAGACAGGTATGTAATAAAACAAGATAACAGATGCAAAACTAAGCGTTTATTTATTTATCATCAACTATGAACAACAATATAAACACATCGTGAAATAATAAGCAAACTAAAAAGTACAAAGAAGTAATGAAAACAAATATATGTCAAAAAGTACAGAAAATAAACAGGTGATGGAAGAAAAGGCTTTTTATTTATTAAAGGAACGCAACTACTACTGCTTTTTATCTTCATGATATGGACTCGTTTTTATTGATGTTAAATGGCTATCAACAACAGATACAGAAATCAACAACTGACCAGCATAATACGTTGGTAAAATTAAATTACATTTAAATGACGATATATCACTAGAGAATAAACAAATTCCCAATATAGTATCAGATACACCAAATAGTAATCCACCAACGGCAGAAGCTATACATGTCCATGGTATAGAATATTCATGTTTAGTTAATTGGGCTAATGCACGCCATACCATAATTACTAATATTAATCCATAAGCTGGAATAACAAATGTATTGATACCGTCTAGTCCTTCTTTTATAGAAACACATACACAGAGAAGTATTGGCAGTAAAATGAACAATATAGATAGTTTTAAACGTTGAAAACCAAATGCGTAAATGTATAATATATGTGTAATAGCAAACATAGCCATGCCGGGAATAAGAAGACTAGGCCATACCAAAAATGCATCGCCTAGACAAGAGAATAGAAGACCAAGAAAAATTTTTAAAGAATAGGCTTGATTGTTTGGTATCTTAACCCCATACATATAAACAAATGCAACAAGTGATAAAATAGGTGCGCATTTAAAAACACAATAACCCACAGTCGACTCATATTTCGGATAAAGAACATAGAATAAAGCAAATGTTTTAAAGAATAAAACTAAACGTGGTCCCAAACATTTGACCTGAAAAAGAAAGGAGGATCAAGTGAAAGTAATGCTAAAATTTTGATATATCGATAAAAAAAATTACAGAAAGATCTAACATAACTTGAATCATTCGTATTGGTAGTTTGCATTTTTTAAAATAAAGTTGAGGGATGCAATCGATCAGTCTGTTATTGACATATGTGAATTGCCTCGAAATTGCTCTGAGTCGCAAGCATTATAAGCAGAGATGAATGGTGGCTAGCAGTGTAATCCAGTACTTGAGTTTCGTCCTATTTAGGTTTCATCAGCTGGATGTACCTGGATCCCATAGTTGAATCTCATGCTGGAATTCAGGTACATCTAGACGACGAGTCTCAAATGGGACGAAACGTGATTCCTGAATTACACTGCTGACCTTTACTCATCTCTGCTTATAATGATTTGAATCGGTTAGTAATCTTAAATAATTTGTCAATGTTTAGCAGCACAATACCTGTAAGACTGAATAATTATTTTACATTGAAATTTACATAAGGTCACAGTGAACAAGCAGCTATTTAACAAACTTGCTAAGTTAATACGAAGAAATATGATACATTCTCCTACATATATAACTATGGCGGTAAATGGATAAATAACATCAAACGTTCAATGAAAATATGCACTGAACAAGACGATAAGAGTATGCGTTATATATACTGAAAGGTAATCCGACGTGATATAAGACATTGTTTGCAGTGAAACTAAAAAGAATGAGTGCAAACGAAACCACTCGATGAATTCGTACAAACCAACTTAAGCGGGAGACTGAAGTACTCAGTTTTAAATCAAAAGGTTTTAGGCTATAATAACATCCCATCTACTTCAATATTAGATTTTAATACTAGTGAGATATCGGTTTTCAGTCAAGAAGCGAGTATACTGTGCACCAGTCCGCTTTATATCACTCTATGACTGAAACTGTCTATGAAAGTATAAGACATCTGTAGGCTGCATGCTTTTATCATGGCTGTCTTCTTCGCATCTCGTAGAAAGACTAAGTTAATAATCCTGCTGTCAGAAACAGGGTACTAGGTAAACTGAGGAATCAATTAACGAGGTACGAACACTGCATAAGTCGGATCACTTCCTAAACCGACAGACGACAATTAGCTGAAAAAAAGAAAGTGATAGTTGAACCAAGGCCAGTCATTCAATTTCAAGTTTAAACAAAACGTGGTATCAGTCCATTAAGCCATTGACTGTTGAGATGAGTCAAGATGGTAGATTCACAGCACTCGCGGCATTCCCAATAGATCTTAGTCTAGGGCAGGTTGGCACATTATTTCATCTGCAAGTTCAGCTTGTGCTGTTGCGCTCTCGATGTCCTGGATAATGGGTTGTTGATCGAGGTCAACCGACACTAGGGTTCATTTTGTTTAGTTGGTTAGACTACGGCTTAACGATCTAGACTAGTTTTCATGACACATTACCTGATAGTGTACGTTAATACTGATGAAGTATCAGATCTGAACGGTTGTGGTCAGATCCCCTCGATTCCTGGAGTTAATAGACGTTATGTGGAGAGGCCTGATTACTTTTTGGGTTTGACGGACGGGAGAAACCAAGACATACCACTTACCATAGTAGCATGTACGCCTGGTAATCACAACAACGACAGTCACCGTTGTGTTGGGTAAATTTGGTTGTCCGAACTTCTACATATTAAATTGCTAACCCTAAAAATCACTGTGCTGGACAGTTATTGACTGTTCATCAATGGTTTTCTTAGGACATTCCTAACCATCTACGGTTTCTCATATCTCAGTCGGATGTTTGAAGACCGTTTAATCGCTGCCCTTCGAGACGTAAAGCTAGTCTCCTTTGGCAAATTAATGAAGTGATCATTCCTGGAGAAAGGACTTACTCATCGTTATATTTTAACAACTGAGAAGACGCAACCACAAGCAAAGCAACTATAGTTAGTTTTCGGACTAATTGGATAATGTCTTTACTTTTCCAAAAAATGACTGCTGATTCAAGTAGGCAGACAGCATTTGGTTGGTTCGTCCAAAAGTTATAGTCTCGCCATGTAATCATATTGAAAAAGACATGTTCGCCCACTGAGGACAAGTGCTACATAATTCAGACTTTATCAATAACGAAGGTCATAACCTATTCCTAGAGGTATAGAAATCAGCTCTTTTATGAATCTTTTGGACTTATATGGTCTCCTAATAAGTGTTTTCATTATATAAAACCGACCGAAGGAATATTCGTTGATGGATGGGTATTTTAGATGAAGTAAATTTACGTGGACGCATTAGAACAATAAACTCATGACTACCTCATGAGTCAAAAAATGACGATTGATAGACAATGCCTTACATCTTTTTAAGGCTAAATTCACTTAAAAGCGATGCAGACTGGGTCTAAATTTATTTATTTTCTGATAAGCAATCATATTAAAATATACAGAGTATACTTACAACAGCTATTCGACTGATTGGTTCGAACGTCAACATTGAAGTGCGCTCTAACTCAAAGCCGGTTCCAAGGTTATTCACCCCGCCAACTGTATACTTCAGTCTTTTCGAAGCAGACAAAGTAGATTGATTCAAATGGTTCAGATGGTTGTAGATGGAATAGAAGAAGCTTTTGCTTAACGGGCTTCCGTGTTTGACAGTCTATTAGAGTAAGTATATCACGGCCAGCTTTCTTTTGATAGCTCTCACTGTCATATCGTCGCAACAATTTGAGGTTGGTCTGTGGCGAACTCTTATGCTAATCAATAGCAAGCAAAAGCCATCAGATTTTAACAACACATTCGAAGTGTCCAACTACTCTGAAAATGCTAATTGTAGTTGGCTTTGCTGAAAGATCAACCACAGTGGAATGCTCTCTAAATGCTGTCAAAATAAGGCTGGACCTCCACATGATAAGACTTATTATTTCAGCCAACTGCCATCTCTCTATCTGACGCAACTGCAACATTCAACTGTTCAGTCACTTGCAAACAGTGGATCTATGGAACAACTGCTGCAACTGCGTGAATCGGCTTGATAGAACGCGCGGTCTTAGTATACCTCCGGGTACCTGCAGTGCGACAATAAAGACTAATGATCGGGACCTTACTGCAAGAGTTGATAACAAGTCAAGGATCCATAAATAACCCCCAATGAGCAAGTTTAAATCCCCCAAACTATTGCGAAAATACCCCATGGTTATGTTCACAGTATTGATCACACCAATCAAACACCAAACGTTAATACCTCAATAGGCAGAAAGGATCCCACCCAGACAAAGATTTTATCTCCAATGACATATGTAAGCAGTGAAAGAATAGCAAGGGAGAGAGCCTCATGACTAAATACTCAGAAACACTGTTCGTCCAAGAAGTAAGACACAAAATTGACGGCTGCATAGTGTACCATCTACTAAATGGAACGAGCGTCTCCGAATCGAAAGGCGGCTACTATTGTGACTGGATTCACTTACGTAGTGACACCATAATATCCAAGCGGTTCAATTGGTTCATACTGTGTCGCAACGCCCACTATCCAAGTGCGTATTCTCGTAGTATGAGAAAAATCTAACGACAAAATTCATCAAACATAAAAATCCACGTACCCTGGAGGCTCCCGTACTCAGCCCCATCAACAATTGTCGGAAATTTGACCAAAGAAACCATAACTCCGAGGGGGACACGATGCGCACAGATTGGCACATTCACTTACTAATTCACAGGTCATAAATGTCACTTGCGGACACTGAAATGGAGCAGTGTGGTGTTGTTACGAAAAATAATAGTAGAAGCATAGCAGTTACAAAAAAGCTTAGCAAAGTAGACGGAAAGTATCTGAAACTCCCTGGTCCTATTAAATATTGAAGTGTCGGCGGTGGTCCACCGAAAAGCAAGGGGAGGCTAAATCGACAATAATGAAACTAATACTCCACCATGTTTAGTGTGTGTATATTATCCTGGTTAATTCAAGTGCCAACATAAGTGTCAAATTACAACGAGAAGTAAGTATTTTCGCCATGAATGACTATGTAGAATTATGGTCTACTATGATATTTGTACTGCGCTAATAATAGGCCTAATTCTAAAATTGTAGATTTGTCATGATATAACTGCCTCACCTATAAGATCTTACGTGGAAGTCACACCATCGACACACCAACTCACCGTATCTAAACAATTACCAATACATGATGGAGAACAAGCTTAGGCTAGAGAAAAAACAATATATTTAATATGAATAGAGGATATAAGGTAACATTCAGCAGGAAGCACGACTGCATGGCCGAGCCATGCCACCTGAGCGCGCTTTTCGAACGGGAAGTTTAGTCCCAACGTGATTTGCAGTTATCAAACGTTTGCTGTGTTCTTACAAATAAAAGTACCATTTCTGACCAAAAGAATCTATCCTGAGCTATACGTTCGGTATATTACTTTTTTTGAGTTTCACCATATGTAATAGTTAACTGTGGTTTTGCCTCAGCTTACTATTCGGTTTTTCTCGTTTTTCACGTAAAGACTAGCTCAGTTTCTTTCATTCGTTTTTATCCATTTCTGTCCGTTTTCAGTATGCTTTCTAGTGTATTTTTACGGTCTTAAGCTTTTGCAAGCATCTATAACATAGTTCGCCTCAACATAGACATGAAAAACTCATGCAAACGTCCGGGATGCCGTTTTGCTGTTACAACTGGCATACAGTGCGACAACTGCAAAGGTTGGTTCCACGAAGCATGCACAGGTCTGACGGCAACTGGTTACAATAGACTCAGCAAAACGGACCAAAAGTGGGTATGCGTCACATGCAGCACGGACGCTGTAGTCTTGCTGAGTAACATCATCGTCCTACTGACAGGTCTGCGGAACAAGTTGTCAGCAAACTTGGATAACTACGGTAAAAAGATGGGTGGACAAACAAGAGCGCGCAATGAACACAAGATTAGGGATGTCGATAGGCATACCATCGGTGGAGCATCCATTAACTCTAATGATGACGTGTTGAAGCTCATCACCAACATTACGTCGACGGTATTAGGCTCCCTAAGTAAACTCGGGTCTCCCAGCTCAGGGTCCCTGAACAAAACAGTGGTTCTTAAAAACCCCGTAGGTGATTCGACCCACGTTAACAGAGCCCAAAAGAACCAGGTGTCACCGCCTTAGCTGAGCATCCCAAGTGTTGTTGTACGGAAAAAAACTGGTGATTTGGTCGCACAGTCTACCCCCAAGAATGTTCGTCCGGTCATCGAGGAGCCCAAGATTCAAAAACGTGCCTTGACCTCAAAAAACAAGGTATTAAACCTGAACCCATCGGGAAACCTGGTAAATTAACAACACTTCGTGAGTATTCTCTCATAATCATGAACCTCATTGAAAATCGTGACCTTCCTCTCAGTCTGCAGGACAAAAATGACAGGATGCTCTGGGGTGAATTGAACAAGGAGCTCGAACTTCCTAGAATTGAGCCTTTGACGGTCACCCGGCTCACTCGAGGAAAGGATTCTAAGCATCTAAGTCACCCGAGGCTTCTCCGAGTAACACTTAAGAATGCAACCGACGTTGAGGACATCTTGCTAGCCAGTAACTTGTTGAAATCCGATGATAACGTAAAAATATTGCCCGACATACCGTACTCTGAGCGCAATATCATACGGAACATCCCCAAAGAAACTCGCGATCAGATTTTCCGCGGAAGAAACATAATTGTGCAAGGTATACCGGAAAATGCAGACCCTACGCAATCAAATTCTGACATCAGGGAATGGAAATTCATCAAACAGTCCTTGAGGCTCAAACATATACTGACTCAGCATGTGACGAGACTAGCCAAGAAGGACGGTGATCCTAGACCTCGTTTAATGAAGATAACCTTCCCACCTTCCCACATGTCGGCTGCAGTTCTGGAAGCATTTCGTGCCAACAGACGTCGATTGCCACCTGGAATCCACATGCATCCGGATAGGCCATACGAAGCTAGGATCAAACACAAAGGCAAGTTGAAACTGACCATTAAACTTGTGGACTGTCTAGATGATAAAAAACGTGTTAAGGACAGGGCCTACCACCTCGGAAAACCTCATATAGGCGGGCTACATGTCCATTCACGTATGGCTCATACAGACAAACAGGACGAAGCTCACGCGTCCCAAATTGAAAGCATAGGTTGCTTATACATGAACACCGCGAGTCTACCAAACAAATTGGATGAATTACGTGAACTTAGCAACGCTAATAAGGCCCATCTGATAGGGATATCTGAAACCTGGATATCTTCTCAGTTCTCGGACCAAGAGTTAGCATTACTTGGGATGTCTTTGTTCCTCAACGATAGAAAATCAGGAATTGAGGGCGGAGTAGCCGTATACATACGTTCTTGCTTGGAGGTGCATCAAGTTCATAACCTCGAGTTTAACAATCTTGAGAAATCCATATGGTACTCTGTGAGATTGTCTAGTACTTCGAGGTCTCTAGTCGGAGTCATTTACAAGAAGCCAACTGCCGACATCGAGTACGATAGTTGTATGCTGGGAGGACTATCCCGCTCTACTCGTCTCGGTTTCACACACATCCTGATTCTAGGGGACTTTAATCTCCCTAGATTCAACTACGCGGATCACACGTATACTGGAGGCGATAACTCAATTGAAGCTCGGTTCTTCAACCCCATCGAGGACTTGGGATTTCACGAAAATGTGAGGTCGGCAACTCGTTGGAGAAACAGTCTGGCACCATCGCGCTTAGACTGTGTATTCACAAACGAAGAATTCCTAATTGACAACATCTCATTCCTGTCTCCTCTGGGAAAAAGCGATCATGCCGTCATAGCCTTCAGTTTTGTCATCAAAACTAAGCTAAGGTATCCCACCAATAACTTGCGTTGGAATTTTAAACGGTTGAATGTGCCAACTCTACACGACTATCTACAACAGGTGGTTTGGGATGTTCACACTCAACTCGATGTGGGCGGTCATCGGGACTTTTTACTGCATAAGCCCTTATGTGCTACAAACCATTCAGTTTCTCAAACGGTTCCCAAAAGCTGCAAGTCACCTACAATAATCAAGAACCGTACCCTTCGCCTGCTAAGTCGCAAAAGGCACTGTTGAGTGGAATACAAAAGAACTAACGACGACGGAGCGTACAGGCAATATAAACATGTAAGGAACATATGAACGAAGGTTATAAGAGAGAACAGGCTTCAGTACCAGACAAAGCTTATGGACAAATTTGTCTCTAATCCTAAAAGCTTATTCTGTTATGCAGCCTTTCTTCGTCAAGCCAAAACTGGAGTTTCCCAACTGGTAGGTCTTAACGACCCGACCAACAACGATGGCGATGCCGCTAACCTTCTGGCTGAACATTGCTCTCAAACATTTCAACTGACCCACATCAACTTTACTGATGACAGTTTCATATGCAATTCTACAGGACTTACCGAAGTAGACCTAAGCGCTGACTTGGTGTTCCGGAAATTGCAGCACTTCAGATTAGACACTTTTCCTGGCCCGG